TAAGAGACAATACACCTGTCTGTTACCTGATACCCACTAACTGGTCAAGTTAGTGTGGTTTCAGCATCTTCCAGCCTTCCTTGTGTGATGTCCTCGAAGTCCTTCACTAGGAGAACATGCTAAACTCCGATGATGTATGTCACCTGAGCCTCCATTCTTGTCTACTCACGGCATACCTATCTGCTCATTCCAGCAATCTTCCCTCTGTGGTAGACCAAGAATCTAAACCAATGGCTACTTGCTCACTTCATCTTTCAGCACTCTCTCTGGCACCTTTGTGTCCATCTGGACTTTGGCCAGTTGAGCAGGGGAGATTCATGATCTTATGGCAGATGTTCTTGCCTCATACTTGTTCAAGACAAGGCAATACTCATAGCTTACTCTCAAATCCTGCCCAAGGCATTGTCAGTGTTTCATTTGAGTCAGGAATGAATTCTCCTATTTTGCTATAATGTGGCTTATGCTACTTATGCTATTGTCAAACTCCCTCTGCATGCTGCTGTCTTTGAACAGCTGGCTCTTCAATCTTCATACTGGTAAGAGAACGATGAACGGCTTTTTGTAATAAGCACCATCTGAAGCCTACAGCTGTGTGACTGTACAGATAGTCACTTAAAGAGAAAGAAGCTATTCATTTTTTTGGACATATGTATTCAAGTCCACAATTTGTTCCTCTTCCTTGGAGTTCCTGAAGGCTTTCTAAGGCTTTCACAGCTACCAAGGAATCGAGTAGAGGAGGAACATGTCTTATGGTTGTTAGGGCCATATAGCATGCATAGAAGATAAGGTTTGATTTCCATAAAGGTCCTGGTGAAGTAAAAATTATTTGGCTTTCTGTATGTGAATCTTACGTGAGAATGTACATGCGGAAAAAAATATGAGATAACAGTTAAATAGCCTCTATAGCTTTTGATGGACTCCTTCAAGGGATTCTGATATGAGATCTGGCACATCAAATCTGTGGGAAAATTTTCATGTTTAAGCCTCAAATTATGAAGCTGACAACATCCAAAGTGGAGGCAAAGTACTTTGTCATTTTAAGTAGGAATAATGTTCCAGACACTATCCTATAATCTTTCTTTTCACCCCAAATATGGTAACTTCCTCCTCATTTGCACCAGGGACAGAGTTTGGAACTTCTTCACAGAAGCTGCAAAAGTTACAGAAAAAATGGATAAGTACTACGAAGATTGTTCCTGGTTTGTTTACAGATTTCAGGAGGCCCTGATATATCCATTAGTCAGGCCCA